ATCCATTAAAGACTTTAAGACCCTGAGCTATGACACCACTCAAAGAAAATGGGGGAAATTCGTCATGATATTGTTTTGGGCAATTTTTTGGATATAATCTCAGAAGCACAGGTAACAAAAGCCAAAATAGACAAATAGGATTATATCAAACTACAATGCTTCTGCACAACAAAAGAAAAAAAATAACAGGATGAATAGACAACTTTCAGAATGGCAGGAAATATTTGCACCTATGCATCAGACAAGAGGTTAATATCCATAATATATAAGGAACTCAAACAACTCAATAGCAATAATCATCATCATCATCAATTTTTTAAGTGGACAAAAAGATCTGAATAGACATTTCTCAAAGGAAAACCTAAAAAGTGGTCAATATGTATATGAAAAAATATTTGACATCACTAATCATCAGGGAGATGTAAATCAAAACCACAGTGAAATATCATCCCACCCCATTTTGAATGGTCATTATCAGAGAGAAAACAAATATCAATGCTAGTGAGGATATGGAGAAAAGGCTACTCTTATATACTGTTGGTGGGAATATAAATTAGTATACTCATTATGAAAAACAGTATGGAGATTCCTTTAAAAAATTTATTTTAAAGCTCTTAACACAATTTCTTTATAGCATTTTTATTTTAAATGTTTGGATTAGTATTTCTCTGGATATAGTATCTTTTGTTCACAAGGCACGACTTTCAATCAGTAGTCAGATATGCCTAACACCAGAGTTTTGTTTTCAACTGACCAGAAAAAAAAACCTTCCTTAACAAACTTGGAATCCCACAGACTTCTTTATGCCATACAGGTCTTACAAAACTATAATTTACAAAGTTGTATTACTTCTTACAGAAAGTGAATTGCTTCCCTCTCGATACCATGTGTAAAAATGAGCAAAGTCAAGGATTTACTTATATTTCTACTGATACTAGAATAAAAAGTGAAGTATTAAAACATTTTGACAGAGTTGAACATTTTTTTTTTTTTTTTTTTTTTGAGACGGAGACTCGCGCTGTGTCACCCAGGCTGGAGTGCAGTGGCGCGATCTCGGCTCACTGCAAGCTCCGCCTCCCAGGTTCACGCCATTCTCCTGCCTCAGCCTCCGAGTAGCTGGCACTACAGGCGCCCACCACCACGCCCGGCTAGTTTTTTGTATTTTTAGTAGAGACGGGGTTTCACCATGTTAGCCAGGATGGTCTCGATCTCCTGACCTCGTGATCCAGCCGCCTCGGCCTCCCAAAGTGCTGGGATTACAGGCTTGAGCCACCGCGCCCGGCCAGAGTTGAACATTTTAAAAACATTTTATTTTTATAGGTGCAAGTTTTCTTGTATTTATCCTATTTGGGATTTTCTGGCTCTTTTGACTTTTAGGGTTATTTTCAAGAACTTTAGGACATTTTGGAGCATTCCTTTTTTTTCTGCCTCTTCTCTCTCAACTATCATTCTGTTATACCAATTACCAGCATATCAGATAACATATTTTCCACACATCACTCTTCATTTTCCCCCCAACACTTTTGTAGAACCATTTTACAGATTGAGTAATTTCTAGAGATTTACTTTTAATTTAGTACTATACTATTTTTAATTGATTCTATTTCTTTGCTAAAAATGTGTCTTTATTTATTCTGTACATTTATTTCTAAAAGACCTTGAATATATGTACAATATCTGTTTTATATTATAGAACTCATTCTGGCTGGAATGTAACTCCATTGTTTTCCAGCACTTCCCTATCTCTGGTATCACTGTTCAGTGCTCATCTTGACAGCAGCCATTCTCTGCTAGGCCAATTGTAGTCCTGTCCTGTGTCTAGTAGTCTGGCACCTGGACGACCCTCAGGGAGCTCAGGCAGACTTCTGGACCCTGCTTCCCTGTACAGCTTTCATCCATTCCAAATTCCAACTGCCTCAGCAACCTCAGTTGAATAAAATCCTCAGTTCAGCAAGAGCTTCTTGCTCTTCTGGGTTTTAGCCCTCTACCCGGTATTCTGGAAAGTGCCCTCCAGCATAAAGTATGGGAACTTATAAGCATCATTTATCAAGAATCACCTTCTGCCGCCCAATGCCTCAAAAGAGTTGCCTCATATATTGTATTTGATCTTATAGATGCTTATGGTAGAAGGGCAAGTTTGGAAACAGTTACCCTGTCACGGCTGAAAATAAAATTTCTACAGCACTGTAATTAAGAGCAAGATTGTGAACTAAAAATGAGAAATAAACTAAATCTTAATATGTAACTGGTTGAGTAAATTATTATGCATACTTATCTTTAAACATCATCCTGCCCTTGAAAATAATAACATTAAACCATGTGTAAGACACGTTGTTAATTTTTTGAGAGTATGTCCAAAGCCATTATTATATATGTATCTGTGTGTGTGTGTGTGTGTATGCACATGTATAGATACGCAAAACGTAGAAAGAAAACTGCAAGGATAAACTCAAAACTGCTGATAGTAATTACTGTGAAGAGTAGGAGTGAAAATATCAGTGTATGCAAACTTCGTGTTTTAGTCTATAGACTTTGTGATGTTTGGCTTTGTGATGTTTGCATCATTCACAATGTGAAAATGCAATAATACTTTCCAAAATAAAATAATTAAATGTACTTTGTATTAGTAAATTGCTTGGGAATCACTGTCTACACTTTTTACTCTTGTTTCTTTGTAGGACCTGCTATAACTTCAGTGTTGGAAGCATCAGTGGTAAGAAATGTAAAACTAGACAGATTTATAAAAATAAAATTATTTTCTTTGCACTGATTGGCTAACTTTTAGTTTTGACACATAATCTGTGCAGCTTTCTGTGCTTTATAATGTTGCATATCTGAAATACTCTTTCTTTGCTATACTGGAAACTGACACGAAGGATCAACCTTCTCCTACAAATATGACATGCCAATTTTCAGGGAGGATTTGAGCAGTAAACACTTGACACAATTTATTTATTTTCAAATTGCGAGAGTCAGAGTCTCCCCCAGGCCCAGGTTTGAATATTTGAAAACTACTTTTATGTCTTTCAAAATCTTGACAGTGGTGGGGATTCAGAGCATGCCAGCAATGTGTCAAACTACATCAGTCCCTCTGTCTCCAGGAATGATTGAGACTATCTTTTACGATGAATTCCCAAAGTGTGATTCAGTCAAAATCAACTCATTCAAACAAGAATTCTATTCCTGAGAGTTCAAAAATTCACAGTAATTGGATCTAAAAATGACATAGGTTAGCCAATCTTTTCTTCGCCTTCCACCTTTCACCTTATAACTGCTATTCTCTAGAAAATTTGTCACACCAATATCAAGATTTCCCCTAATTAAACTGTCGTGAATATAACACCATAATTGGTCAATATTTCTATAAAATGTATTGCATATATTCTAATTGCATTTAACTTGATAAATGTGTTACCAATTTGACACAAATCTCAGTGTCAGAAATTCTAGACTCTGAAGAGAGACTGCCTTCATCCAAGTCCTGGCTCTTTCAGTTAACTGCACAATTTGGGTCAAGTTATTTAACTTCTCTGTGTTTTCTTTCCTCATCATTAAAATGAGGATAATAATGATGCCTATATCAGGATTATTTGAGAGTAAAATTCTTTGTTTCCACAATTACATGGGCATAATAAATGCTCAGTGTATGTTAATTATCAGCACCATCATCATCTACATGATTATTATCAGTAGTATCATCTCCCAGGGGCTTAAATTATTTCACTCTATTGCAAACCAGTAATGGTGTTAGTGAATTGATTTACTGTCTGTTTTCTTTAAGAATTTTACCTTCTCCAAGCTGTGCTAAACTAATAATAATTGCTTAATTTTGAAAAACGAATAATGGCTGTAATGTTAGAAGAATGAATCCCAAACTCAAAGCAAATGTTCAATGTGTTTTAGCTGACCTCAATACCACTTGCTTGAATTCATTTACACAACAGCTTACCATTTAACTAATAATAACCTGCTTTAGATGCTACAGACAGATGCTCATTAAATACTTACTAAATTAATGACGACTTTATACAAATATGTATGTGTGTGTGTATATATATATATAAAATATTTCCATTTAACATTGAGGAACTAGGATTTATTGAACAGATTAGGCATCTTAAGTCTGACATTTTATATATATATATATATATATTTTTTTTTTTTTCTATGAATGGGTTGCTAAGCAAGGCTTTGGGGTCTGTATATCATTCTCTTTGGAAAGCAACTTTTCTTATGAGAAGGAACTCCAATCACTAGTAACAAAAAGGAAATGCAATTCAGATTCCTCCATGTAGCCACTGTACCCATGCTACCCGTTCTTTGAAACTGGTAGTACTAATGAATCCCCACATAAGCCATACCCTTTCTTACCTTTTATAACTTCTTTTCCACTTGATGCTTACTTTAAACCAACTCCATTCAGAACAAGGTCGAACTTCTGGAGCACAATACAATGTGATTATTTCTTGCCCACACAATCCCCCTTCCAAGGATGATAAGACTTCAAAGGAGAGAAAGTATTGCCCTAAGGAAACCTGAGGGAAATGCAGTAGAGGCTGAGGCGGGACTATAGCTGGAGTGTTTAAGGAACAACAAGGACCCAATGCAGCTGAAGAGGAAAGAATGGTCCCAAATGAGATTGGAAAAGCAGCCAGAAGTCAGATAACAGTGGACCCTGGAGGTTCTGTTAGAGAGTTAAGTTTTCCTCTCGCTAAGGTGGTAAGCCACTGGAGGGGTCCCAATACTGTAAGGCATTATATTTTTAGTGCCTTAATGCCTCGCTGGCTGTTGTGTGCAGAACAGACTTGAAGTGACCTAAGAGTAGAAGGAAGATAGGAAGGCTGTGTAGGTTATTGATTCTTCATTTTATGGTTATTAATACCCACCTCACTTTTTGCTCCATATTAAAGTAGGCTTGAAGTCAGAAACCATTTCAGGTTCATCTATTTCAATTCTTACCATATTCTCTTTTAATTTTCAAAAAATTATTCATTTCTCTATTTATGTATTTATTTATTTATTCATTCATTTTTAATACTTCCAGCATTTGGAAATCTACTGGAGGAGTACCAAGCAAGTGGCATGGTAATGAGCCGTAACAGACAGCGAGAAGGGAATACAGACTGCCTGATATCCTGACAATGAAGAGAAGAATGGAGATCTGCAGTATCAAGTGCTACTGAAAGGTTTCCACTGAATTCAACAACCTTAGGATCACTGAAGCCCTAAAAAAAAAAATAAATAAATAAAAATAAAACAGTTTCAATGAAGTGGGAAGGCCAGAAGATGCAGTGCAATGAGTTGAGAAACAGTCACAGCCAGAGAATCAGAACACCTCTGATCTCTATTGCCATTGAGCTTTTATGTCTGGAGGATTCCCCACTGCAATTTCAAAGTTACTAACTTGGTGCCAAGTCCTCAAAAATGTTTATTAAAAGAATAGTAGTTATAAAAATAATTAAATTCTCACGGCTTCAAATGTAGTTTAATAAAGCTACAAATAGAGTACATTTTAGTTACTGTTTTATTTTTTATTATAATAATAATTTTTCCATAGCAAAAGTCTCCCAAATTACAGATATCTCATAATCAAAAGACTTGGAAAGGCAACACAATCGCCAAAGCATTGTAATAGTATAAAGAAGAACATGTATTAAATGGCCACTTGAATGCATGGTTTTGTGAGAAATACTCTTTTTTTAATCTATGTTGGCAATATTTCATCAGCTCTATATTTACATCAGACTAACAGGATTTTGTGAAGATTCTAATGAGCTAAATTTGCATATATGACATGCATATGCTGTATAAAATATACACAGTATTTAAATTATTACATAATCTTGCCCAATAGAGATTAGTGACAAGAAACACATGCAACCTCAACTTTCTTTCCTCTGGTCAAAACGCATTTCATTTCTTTGTAAAAAGGAAGGGACCAAGCCTTATCTATCATTTCAGAATTGATATGCATAACTTTGGCTGAACTTAACTCCTGCTTGTAAATCCTCATGTAGCGAGAGAGGGATACAACATAAGCCTGATGATTGAAAACAGTATTAAGTAACTAGGTGCTACACAATTCACAGTGTCATGTAAGAGTAGCGCAGTCAATATTAGATAAAGCATAAAGAACTCCATGGGGAAAGTAAAACAATTTGGAATATTAAAGTCATTATTATGTGACTCACTGTCTTTTTCCTCTTTTTGGTTAAGTTTTAACAACACCACATGTAATTGTGTTCCTCTAAAACCCAGTAATAAAAATGATATGAGAAATTAACCACTTGCATTTTATAATGAGCAATTCTATGAGTTTCTCAAATCCTATAACTTACCTATTCTTTATTTTTCACAGCATTATAAAATAAAGTAAATATCCACTGATAATCTGGTGTTTGATACATTTTTTTTTCTGTTTTTGAGGCAAAGTCCAATAAAACAAATTTTTTAAAGCCTGAAAATTAATGATAGCCTTTTAAACAAATTCTAGGAAGGAAAATTCAGTAAAATTCTTTCCGTTTCTTTGAAAATACTAAATTCACATAAATTTAATTGTGCCAATAATGTCAGAGTTCATCCTGACCCAATCGTATAAAAACTGAAAAAACAAACGGTCTTGACATTCTTGACTATTGTACTGTTTTTCAAATTCCTGTTATGATAAGACAGCATTTCTCATTTAAATTTTGTTGGTACATATTAACTCTCCTCAGTAACCACAACATTTGGGAATCATATTAACTATTACACTTACTATTGCTATATAACCAACCACCACAAAATAACATTTTCAAAAAATTAAGTTCATGCACTCTGTGGGTCTGTAGTGCTTAGAGAATATAGCAAGAAAAACTTTGATCTACCTCACGGTGTCTAAAGCCTTATCTGGAAAGGTGTAAAGGCTGGGGTGACTTGAACAAAGGGAGCTGGAATTATCTAAAGAGCTCCAACGGCCAATGCTGACTGTTGCCTGGGATCACAGTTAAGGCTGTTGACTAGAACCCGCGCATGGCCTCTCTCTGAGGCCTGCACTTTCTCATAGCATGGCACTCTTAAGGTAACTCTCACAGCATGGCTCAGGGATCCAAAGATAAATTTCCTAGGCAGCAAGGCAGAAATTATATGCATTTTATGACTAGGTCTTGGAAGTTATGTTGCATTACTTCTGCTAAATTTAATTGGATACAAATTAATCACAAACCAACCTAGATTCAAGGAAAGGGCAGTTAGGTACCAGACATGGATGACAGAGGAGTCATGTTCAAAAGAACATATGGGATGTGAGCTATTGTATAGCCATATTGGGAAAATACAATCTATTTCATTTACTTTTACATTCCATGTAGCAAGTCAGATGTACTTAAATGAAGGTCTTGGCACAAGCAACTATAATAACCAGAGCAGACAATCTGTGCTTGAGACAAAATATTAAAGTAGGGGCTTTCCTATTTCACTTAATGACTGAATACTGAGACATGAAAACTAAAAATACTTTATGCCAATATATCCTAAAAAGATTTGGGAAATTTCTGAAGATTTGCTAAGGAGTAAATAAAACCCATTTGATATGGTCTGGCTGTGTCCCCAAACAAATCTCATCTTGAATTGTAGCTCCCATAATCTCAGATCACTTGTCATGGGAGAGACCCAGTGGAAGATAATAGAATCATGGCGGCTGGTTTTTCCCCTGTTATTCTTGGGGAAGTGAATAAGTCTCACAAGATCCAATGGTTTTATAAAGGGCAGTTCCTCTACACATGCTCTCTTAACTGCCACCATGTAAGACATGCCTTTGCTTCTCCTTTGCCTTCCACAATGATTGTGAGGTCTCCCCAGTCATGTGGAACTGTGAGTGCATTAAACCTCTTTTTCTTCATAAGTTACTGAGTCTCAGGTATCTCTTCATAGCAGTATGAAAATGTACTAATATACCATTTTTACCACCTTGGCTTCAAAACCCACCTCCAAACTATAAAATGATGTTCAAAGAAAATATTGTAGTTAAAATAAGTTTTTGTTACTCATTGAACTGAATGGACTCCCAGCACTCATGAACTTCTTATAAGAGCATAAATTTATGGAGAATATTTACATGTTCTTAAAACAGAAAATGAGGGCTCCAGACATTTATAAGTTTCTCAGGCAAGTACATCAAGATTTACCACTTAGATTTCCATCTCACCAACTCCTACTTAGTCGAAAATACTTATGGTCACTCACTTATTCCACTTTAAGTCTCCTAACTGGTCTCCTCACATCCATGTGCCTCACTCCAATCCCTTCATCGCAGTTTACAGAACAGTTTTCAACAAATCTAATCAGTTCACTCTTCTGCTTACAATCCCCAGATGTCTACCTAATTGAAGGACCTTCCACAGGAGTCTGCCCCTACCTGGCTCTGGCTTTGTTTCATACTTCCACCTCCTCATGAGTGACTTTCAAATCTCCAGCACCCCTTCCAGTGCTCCCATCACTGGAACTCTCCTTGCTAGCCATTCTGAATTCCCAGACTCTTTGAAACTCTACAATTTTTCTTAGGCCTCACAATTTTCAACATGTCTTTTTTCTCTACCTGATATTCCCTCTGACTTTACCACTTTGAAAGAATAGGTGGTATATTTCAATATCCCTAGGAGTTCCCTTCATATTCTGTATGTCTCTTATTCTAACACTTACCATACCTTATAAAAAATATTTTCTCACATCTCATTCTTTCTCCAGAAGATAAATGTCATGAAAAATAGTGACAAGTATCTATGTTGACTGCCATTCAGCATTTCGTAGAGTGTTAAGCATATAATAACTCACTAAATATCTGTTGAAATAATACACTTTTAAAAACAGTTTTCAAATTATTTTTCAACTTCTTGATAGTGCACTGGCAGAATTTCCAACATATATATTTAAATCATTATATGCTTTTAGAATGTGTTTCTCTTCTTTTTAAAAGCTTTATACAAGGAGAAAAATAAAAATAAAGCACTAGGGAAAACACTGTTGCATTGAGAGTATTCTACATTGTACCAAGATAAATGTTATCACTTGCCCAGGTGTGTAGTTTTCTTATCCATTCTGTATTACAGTCTTATCAGCTGCTTGCTTTGGAAATGCTTTATTTCCATTATAGCTTTCCCTGTTTAGGGCTGTTAGGTTTTTAATATCTAATGTCTTTTTGTACAATCATATACAATCATATGTTTAGGTTATAGCTTACACTCTCTCTCTTTCTCTCTCTCTCTCTCTCCCCTTTCTCTGTCTCTCTCTGCTTAGAATCCTTAATATTCTGAATGTGGGCCTATATTTTTTAGCAGGATTGCAAGTGAAACAAGTTGATATTTTAACATGAGGAAAATTTTATGATGTTTCTCAAGGGCACTAAAAACTCTACCTTGAAATTTTCTTAGGGCAAAAGGGCAAATGACAGGAATATAAAAAACACTTAAATATCAAAATATGTACCTTTGAATGTACTTGTGAGTAGGAAGTGGTTCCTGGAATTTAGTAATAAATTTAGCCTAGTAACAGTACAGTCCTTCAGAAGCTGTGATTATGCCAAAGCACATCAGTTTGTTCCCCCACGCACAGAATAAAACAAAACAGAAACAGCTGTAATAGAGGCTTTAAGTACTACCATTTGAAGTAATCAAAACGTTATCCATTTATTAAAAAAAGATTTCCATTTCTTAATGACGCCCCTTTGTATTGTTGAATGATTAGTTCCTTTGGGGAAGCTAGCTGTTAATAAATAAGGTCTCATGTTAAGATCTTTGTTCATAAATTATGTGAGAAACTCTGATTAATTCCCTTTAGTTATAGGGGAGACCACAGTTAATTTATACTCGGTAAAACAGAATGATGAAAATGCTTATATAAACAATTAATTACTTCTTTATGACATAAGCTAAAATATTAATTAATACTTGTGAATACAAAAGCACTTTCAATTTAACTTTCCTTTTATTCTTACAATACACATGAGACATAAAGCACAGGAATATTTTGGGAATTTTTTATATGTAAAAAGAGAAAAATCCGTTCTTGTTTTCCAACTTTAAGTATTTTTCCAGGACATTTCTTCAATTAAAAAATATTTCTATATGTGTACATAGGGATACTTTTAAAACCTGAGTAGATTTCTGAGTTACACCCCTCTTGTCAAGATTCTACATCCCTCTCATCAAGATGTCTAGCATGCATTTGTGATCTGTTTTTAAAATACCTGCTGGGTGATTCTGGGAATCTTTAGGATTAATAATCCCTGCTCTACTCAATGTAATCTCTTCTCTTCTATGTCAATCACTCCCAAAGTTCTATTTTCTCTCAGTGGGTGATTTCCTCATCTGCATTTATAGTCTTGATATGTCAGCAGAAATTCCAATCAGCAATTCTAACTCCACATTGGATTTTTCCATGTGGATGACCTGTCGAACCCAAGTTTATGTTCAACAATAAATCCACGCGGAGGCTTTAAAAGAGGCACACAGTTTAAAAAGCAGAGGTCTGTGGTCGGTGGATATTTCAGTGTTGTTTCAGCCTTCATTTTACATCAGTTTGCTTCTCTTGATCGTGTTTATAACACCCTCTGGGATCTGGCCTTCATTCTGAGTCTTTAGTAATATGTCACATTTTCTAAATTCAAAGATGTTTTTGAGCATTTTCATTCTAATTCCTGTACATTCAGAAAGCTAGAATTATGTTCTTTCTTTATATTTTCTGGGAAGACTTCAAGTATTGATACTGAATGTTAGAATTTATCTTTCTGAAATTGATCAATATTATTACAAACAAAATGTCAGAGTTTCCAGACCTTGCAAAGGGCTTTCAAATCAAAATCAGTTTGCATGTGTAAAGGCAATAAGTTTGTTACTTGTGACCTCTGAGGAATTCTTTCTCCAAACAACCTGTTAGCAAAGATTTTGATTGCAGACACATATTTTCCCTCAATAATAGTCATGCGGGCTATTATGACATGTGTAATTTTAACAAAGCAAAGTTTTGATGAGGAAGGTCTATAAAATATGCAATAATATGAAAAATAACTTCACTAATAAAAATCTTTGTAAAAGTTTATCATTTGAACTTTATTCAAATGTAAACTTGTCTACAACTGTGACATTGAAACGTGAACTCGGCATGTTTTCTAACAATCTTGCATCCCAGATATTTCAACTTCTATTCCCCAAAAACCACAAATACCAAGATGAGGATTAGGGATGAGCTCAATACCTTCTCTGTCTATCTGCCTAGACTGTATCCTTATTCTTCAAGACCCATTTCAAACACACTTTCTCCATAATGCCTCACATGATCCCATGTTAGACATGATTTTTCATTCCTTTAAAGCATACCACATATAACTTGGTTTTTATGGAAATTATTTTATGGTGTTCCATATTGTCATTATGTAAACATCTAATTTTCCTATCTTTGAAAACATTATTTCCTCTACTATCTAATGGTCTGTTTCATGCAATAGGTACTCAAACATCTGAGTCACGTAACAGATACTCAGATAGCCAAGTCACATAATAGGTACTCAAACACCCAAGTTAATTGAACCAGTTTCACCAGCACTCAATCTGTGTCTCTTCCAGTTTCTTCAATTTGAAACATGTGAACCTTTGCCAGTTCCAGTAGTAGAAATCAATCTAATTAGTGAAACTAACAAGTGGTGAAAGCAATATTCAGTAGAAGAAAGGTCAGGGAGTAGTGATGAGGAAAAGTCTTGCCACTCTTGGCCCACAATCCACAGACCAACTTCATGTTTCAATATATCCTCTATCTTCTATTGCTACTTGGGCTGTTATCACAGCAGCACCAGAAAGTTACATCAGTTTCTGACTGCCACATAATATTGCCATGTCAAGTATGGAACTGAGTTCTCAGAGATGCTGCCCAATTGCTAGCAAGATCAGGATTCATGGGAATCTTTGTCAGTCTCAATCAAGAAATTAAGAGAAAACACAACTCAGTGATAGAGAAACAAGTAGAATCAGTTGTTCATGCCACCAATTTGTTTCTTCTTATTTCTTCCCCACACCTCCACTTTTGAATTGGTTTCCTGCTATCAAGATGCAGTCTAAACAGTCTTCCTTCCTTTTTACTTTGGTTTATTTTCTAATATGTTATAGCATATAAGAGAGGCATTTTAGAATAACAGATTGAGAGATCTGGGTTGCAGATCCTGATTTTGAGAATGCAATTCAAGAAAAAATAATAGCGTACAATGGCATGATATAACCATTTAGCATATATTAACTCATTTCATGCTTATATTTATATGTTTGATACTAATATTGTCCACATTTTGCAGATGAAGGAATCAAAACATGTGATTACATTAGGACCTTGCCCAGCATCACAAAACTACCAAGTAGAATGCCTCTGAGCAAGACATAGAAGGTCCAAAACATAAATTTTATCTAGGGGCATTTTTTTATGGACCAGGAAAAATCTGACAATGTAAGTCTGAAACTCATTCATTGTTTATTTCTCTTACACCAACATTTAATTCATTAACAAACTATATTACTTTTTCAGAGAAG